CTTTCTTTCTTTCTTTCTTTCTTTCTTTCTTTCTTTCTTTCTTTCTTGGCAGGGTTTCTCTGTGTATCCTCACTTTGTAGACCAGCCTGACCTTGAACTCATAGAGATCCACCTGCCTCTGCCTCCTTGAGTACTGGCATTAAAGGGAGTACAGGGATTACATGAACCACTGCACCAGCTTTTTAAATAATTTATTTAATTTTATTTTGTGTGCATTGGTGTGAGGGTATCAGATCCCTTGGAACTGGAGTTACAAACAGTTGTGAGCTGCCATGTGGGTGCTGGGAATCAAACCGAGGTTCTTTGGAAAAGCAGAACATGCTCTTAACCACTGGACCATCCCTCAGCCCCTGTAGAGCACACCTTTAATCCCAGCACTCAGGGAGACAGAAAGAAACCCTGTCTCAAGAAGAAAGGAAGAGCTGTTATTCATTCTGCCAGTTGACTCATTGTGTGATCCTGGTATGTTCTCATGCTCTCTCAACTCTAGACTCTCATCCTATCTGTATGTAAGGAAAGTGAGCAGAGGCGCAGGGAACCCATCACTTTCAAGTCTCCATGGCGGAAAAGGGGACCATCCTCAATATCACCAGGAACCTGAAAAGTGAGTATGTCCTATGAGATTTTCTAGGGCAGAGTTGCAGGAGAAGGGGTCTGGAGAGCATCACTCTTATAGGCCTGGCTCCCTGATGTCTGCTGTCTACCGTCCTACTTGCAGATGCTGTCTCTGCCATCCTCCAGGGATATGGGGACAGGCAGGGGCCGGTGACAGACACCAGCGCTGAGCTTCACAGACTCTGTGGCTGCCTCGAGCTGCTGCTACAGGTGGGACCCTCCACCTACCCTTTCCTCCCCTGCCCTGTTCCTTAGCTTTGAATACTTAGGAGAGCTTTCTCAGATATAGACCCAAGACACTGTCTTCCTGCCTTACCAGGCACTGTCTTCTTGCTTAGGGAGCAAGTCTTTCATGAAATAACCCTTCTCCTGGAGGCTAGCACTGGCCTTCATTCTCTCCTCACTTTTACCTCCTGGGGTGCTTGATGAACCTCCCATATAAACATAAATATCCCTCCTCCTCCTCCTCCTTCTCCTCCTCCTCCTCCTCCTCCTCCACTTCCTCCTCCTCCACTTCCTCCTCCTCCTCTTCCTCCTCCTCCACTTCCTCCTCCTACTCTTCTGACTTCATCTTGACAATGAGCTGCACTTCTGCTACCATAGTCTCCATCTCCCATAGCATATCAGGATTGCACCTGTCCCAGGGCCTTTATCTTTACATTGCCTCTGTCTGGGATGCCATTCCCTAGATGTTTTCATGACATCAATTCACATGGCCCTCAAGTCAGGAGGATTCCTCAGGCTAAAATTTCAGACACCAACACACACACTTTGTATTTTCTTTTTTTTCTCTCTCTCTCTCCACAGCCACCATCACTATCTAATGCACTGTATGCTTTGAAATTTTAGCTTAATCATCCTCTGACTTCCCTACCAAGATGTAAGCTGCATGAGGTTGGTTCATATAGGCCTTGTTCATTGTTCATGGCCCTAAGAACAGGGCCTGCACATAGTAAAGTGTTCCATGTTTGTGAGTGAATGAGTGTGAACTAGGCTCAGTGAGATCAAGTATCCTGTCCCTGTCACACAGCCAGTAAGGACAGAGCTAAATCCCTCCCCACCCCCGAAAAAAAAAAAAAGGCCTATCTGCAGGAGCCCTTTCTTCTCCCTGTGCTTTCCCATTATGCCAAGGTGCTAGATAGGTTCCAGAAAGAACCACTGACATGCATTCCTTTTCCTCTTGGTCCTAGTTCGACCAGAAAGAGCAGAGGAGCTTCCTGGGGGCTCGGAAGGATTACTGGGACTTCCTGTTCACTGCCCTGAGACAGCAGCGGCGATACACTGAGCAGACCAGCTTCGTATGCTCACAGGACAAGGTAACGGGAGCAAGTGATATAAAGAGAAGGGGGTGGACGTTGGAAGTGCAAAGCTCTGGTGCCAGCACTGGACAAAGCATGGCTAGAGGCAGGATGCTAGCCTTCCCTAGGTACCACGTCACTCATGCCATCGCTCATACCTTCTCCCCTATCAGGAGGCTTTTCACCTGGTCCTCACCTCTCATTGGCCCTGGCCTCACTTCCAGCCACGTATTTCTCCTCCACCCTTGGCCCACTCGTTCTCCTTCACTTTTGTTCCCGCCTGTAATCTCTCTAATTTGGTCCAGCTCCCCATCCTGATTTCACCCTCGCTTTGGTCTTCCCCACACCCTGCAGCTGAAGACCTCTCTGGGAAAAGGCCGTGCCTTTATCCGGCTCTGCCTTGCCCATGGACAGCTGGCTGAGTCGATGCAGCTGTGCCTCCTGAACCCAGAACTCACCAGGTGGGTATGCCAGAGCCATTACCCTCCTTCACTTCTAAATGGATGACGGACCACCAGGCATAAGAGAATGAGTGTCTGGAAGAAGAAAGGGCCTGCATGCAGTTTGATGTACTTGGGCCTCTGCCCTCCAAGGTTAAGCTCAGCCACAATCTGCCTGGGAAGGTGCCCTATGGTGCCCTGATTCTCAGAGGTCAAGAGTGAATCTGCTGGTCCCTCTTCACACAGGGAATGGTATGGCCCCCAGAGCCCTCTGTTGTGCCCTGAGCTCCAGGAAGACATCTTGGACACTCTCTATGCCCTCAATGGAGTTGCCTTCAACCTGGACCTGCAGCGGCCAGACCTGGATGAAGCCTGGCCCATGTTCTCAGAGTGAGTGAGCTCTCAGTCTCCAACCCAAGCCAGTCTTCCCTCTCCGTTTTAAGAATTGTCTTTTTAGATTATAATATAATTCTATTGTTTACCCCTTCCCTTTCTCCCTCCAAACCTTCCCATACACTCTTCCTTGCTCTCCTTTAAATTCATGGGCTCTTTTTTCATTAATTGTTGTGAAATACACACCACACACACACACACAAATATAATGCACTTAATCTTTATAATGTAACTTGTATGTGTGTTTTCAGGGCTGACCATTTGGTGCTGGGTGATCAGTTGGTGTGCTCTTCCCTGGGGAAGACTGTTTCTTTTGCTCTCAGCATTCCTTACTTGCCTGTAGTTCTTTTTGTAGGGTTGAGTGCTCATGAACTTTCCCTCGTTTGTGTTAGCATATCTATGGGTCATGCCCTAGTTCATGTTTAGGAAGACATGTTGGTGCACCTTTATTGGTATAGATTCTGACATTCCTAGATGATACACGCCAACCTCTTGATCCTCTGGCTCCTCTTTCAATCCCCTCTTCTGCAATGACCCCTGAGCCTTCGATGTAGACGTCTGTGTACTGGTTGTGACTAGGCTCCACAACTCGGCACTTTGGTTGTGGTTTTCTGTAAGGATCTCATCTGTTGCAAAGAGAAGTGACTTGATGAGGGGTGAGGACCACACTGATCTGTGGACACAAGAACAAGTATTCAGAATGTACTTAGGGATTATGCTGCTTTAGTAAAGTGGTGGTTACGCATTCTTCTCCAAGACCCATGGCTTCACTATCCCTGGGTAGTGGGCTAGGTTCCCAGTAGTAGGCACACTTTCCCTCTTGTTGAGCATGTCTTAATTCCAATTAGGAGCTGGTGGTTATCACCAAATATATGTAGCACTACTACACCCTGGGGTTATCATAACATGTTGGTTCTTGTGCTTCATAGATGTCATAGCTGGGTAGAACGTCTGTTGTTTCCTCCCTTGGGAAGCCTGCCATCTCCCCTGGCCCCTGTTCTTGATTGTTTTGCCCCCACTCTTCAGCCTTCTCTTTCCTCAGTATCATCTCAAGCTAGGCCATGCTAAAAGACTAATTGGTCACAGTGGAAAGGGAGAAAGGTGGATAGGTGATGGGATGCTGAGATGCAATGGAAGCATAGACGGGACATGAGATGACTGGCTCGATGGAGAATGGAAACCTCTCAGGGGGGAGCTGGACAACAGGGATGGTAGTAGGCTGAACAGGTGTTCCAGAAGCGGGGCAGCCCCCCACTAGAGGACCAAGCTGACCCAGATTCCTGCCTCTTGGTTTCAGGTCCCACTGCTCCAATCCCAGCCAGACCCAGGAAAGAAGAGCCAGAAAGCCCAAGCGTTTCCCAAAGGAGGTGCCTCTGCCTTCCTTCACCCTGGCTTGCTTCTTGACCATCTATCAGAACTCTCAAGTTGAGCAGGGTCTCCTGTCGGTGTACAGAGAGCTAAACAGGGCAGAGGTGGAAGCAGTGTGTGAATCAGGAGTTGGGAGAGCAGGGAGTGGGGAGAATTCTTGTTCCTGGAGAAGGGGAATAAAGACAGGGGAGCACTAGGGCCATCTGTAGGAGCCAATGGGGCTCTTAGGAGGAGAGGGCCGTAGGGGTGGCTGGAGGCTTGCTGGAAACAGACAGAGAGCACGCTTCTGAAACCTCTGAGCTGGGTCCTCAGATTGGCCTATGTCAGCTAAGGGAGTGACTAAAGAGCCTGATTTCCCAATTCGAAGCCCAGCTCTTCCCCTTTCTAAACACAGCAACGGCCCTTGGGCTAGTTCCTGTCCTGCCTCCTAGGGGAGTTGTGTAGACGGCTTGAGACAGCCCACATGCAGCTTAACACGAGGCTCCTGGCTCCTGCTCCATTCCCATGTGGCAGCTTAACGTTGTCCTCATCCCAGGAGCTTCCAGACACTAGATATTGCACCATTAAGGACTCAGTCTCAGACCTTGAAAGAGTTTGAGGCCAGTTCATAGACACAGATCAGGAACACCTTGCGATCTATGCTAACTTCAGTCAGCCCTCCACATCTGTGGGTTCTGCATTGTAGACTCAACCAACCACACATACAAAATATTTAGAAAAAAAATTGTTTCGTTGGTTCTGAACACTGTGGGTTCTTTTACCCTCAATGTTCCCTAAACAAGGCAGTATAATAACTACTTACAAAGTATTGACTCTGTGTGGGATAATTAAGCAGTTTAAAAGGGACTTAAGCTATGTGGGAGGGTGGGTATTGGTTATATGCAAATCCCACACCATGTTATAGATAAGTTGTGGGTACCCAGGTATTTGAGCACCCTCTTGAGGTCCTGGAGCCAACTCCCCTAGTATCAAGGGATGAGTCTAGGCCACAGAGAAGGCTAAGGGGAAATAGGAGCACAGAGAAGGCTTCCCTGCTCCTGCTATGCTGAGGATCAGATCCAGGGCCACACTTTCTAGACAAGTGCTCTACCACTGAGCTACCTCCCCATCAGGCAAGGCTTCTTGAGAGAAGTCACTTGAGTGAGCATTAGTCAGCTCAAGATTCCATTACCATTTTTACAAACCAGGAATTCTTGCTCCCCTTTTACAGATGAGAATACAGAAAGACAAAATCAAGTACAGGAGAAAAGGTGAACAAAGGTGGAGGAATTTAGGGGAGAACAAGACCAACCCAGGTGAAGGCAGGAGATGCCACTGGCCAGGCAGGGAGGGGAGGAGCAGAGACACCTTCTGATCTCAGCTCAGATTTGTGGACCTTGTGGAAGAATTATCTCAGTTCTAATGACTTTCCCGGTAGGAGGCCTGGCAATCCCATAAGAAACGAATATGTTGTCAAAGGGCTTTGTCCTCTCCTATGTCCCAGATCAGTGACCAGATGCTGATATGGGACTTCTCTACAGGTGAGATTCTCCAGAGGAGAACAGCTGCAGGCACTAGACACCAGAGGAACCAGCTGTCTGCATGATGCAAGGAGAGAGGTCTGCCCACCTGACCTCACTACCCCCTTGCAGCATGGTGATCTTCCCACCTTTCTGGAAGAGAAGAGAGAGGATCCCAGGAGCCTCCATTGTTCCCAGAGCATTTGGGAAGCAGAAAGGGAGGAATTTCTGCTAGACCAGAAGGAGGGAGACCCAAAGACAGGGCAGTTCCTGCCACATTCAACAGCCAGCAGCCAGCAACAGAGAGATGGTGCTAAGGAGGCTCAGCAAGAGGTGACAAGAATGAAAGATGAAGGCAAAGGAAGTCTGCCAGGGACAGAAGGTCAGAGAACAACAGAAGGGATCCAGGAAAAGGCAACAGATTGGGACCATGACCAAGGGCTGCTGGCCCCCAGCCTGCACGGAAGAGCAGAAGACACTAAGTTAGGAACCATGCAGGGGTGGGATCAGCCTTGTGTTCTAGGGCAGACCTGGGTCCTGCAATGTCTGGGAACAAAGAAAGGCTCCACCACAGAGAAGCCACAAGAGTGGACCAGAGTCACCAGTGTGAGCCTGCAGGGGGATCAAGCAGAAGCGCCCTTGCAGCAGGAGGTGATCAAGGTACAAGGTCTATTGTCTCCTCTCTAGCCTGATTGGCAGCTAGGTGTCTGCAGACCATTCCAGCCCACGGATTAGTGTAAGGGGTTGTCTGCTTGTGGAAAGGCGTTCTGTGACTCAGGCTGGCTTTGGATTTGCTGTATAGCCAGGATGCCTTTGAATTCCTCCAGCCTCTGACCTCCAAATCCTGGGATTATTTGTATATATCATCACACAGAGCTCCAAAAACCAGTTTTGGCTTACCTTCTCAGAGTTACTATTTGGAGATGTCCTTTGACAGTCACGTATTCTTTAGCTCACAGAGTGTCCCTTCCTGTGAGTGCTTCCCATGAGGCCTACTTTCTGCCAAGTCATGCCAACATTGGAGTTCGGGACCACATCCCAGCAAGTCTTTTGGGAAGTCACAAAGTTTGGGTTCCCTTACCATCACAGAGGTCTCCCAATGTCTAAGCTATGTTGCTATACACTCAGCTAGTTTTGACATGTTTTCCCACAAGTCCCCCAAGATAGATCCCAAGATGCCCCTCAGGCTCCTTTCTAGCCAGAGTCTTTCAGGTTCATGAACTTGGCAATGGTAACCCCAGGCTCACCCAGCAACCAGAGGCATGGCTGTAGCCGCATAAGGAAGTTCAACAGATGAACTCAGGGCTGGGGTTTCTGCCTTCCTCTTTTAATTCTTCCTTTCCCATCTTGTCCCCAGGACCCCAAGTACAAGCTCCAGCTGGAAGAGGAACAGGTTCAATGCCAGGAGCAGCTGCTGAGGGCACAGAAAGGAGAGCTGCAGGTGCTCCAGGAGCAGCTCAGCAGGTAACCTTGGTAACATCAGCAGGGCTAGGGCTCCAGGACTCCTTGGTATCTCAGTGTTCCCAGCTTGTGCTGAGGCCAGTGCCATCCTAGGTATCTTTCCTGATGCCATGAAGCCCATGGTTCTTCCCCTCCTCAGCCCTTACCCCAAGGATCCTAGAAGACACCATGCACCCTGTCCCTAAGCTCCTCCCATGCTTGGACTCGACTCCTGCTGCCTCTTCTGGGTGCAATGCTGCCTTTTTAATCTGCTCTGGCTCCACCATGCCTCCAAATCTACCTCCCTCACACAGCGTTTAAAGATGGGATTCCACTCTGCAGCCCAGGCTCTCCTGGAACTTATGACAATTCTCCTGCCTCAAGCCCCTAAATTCTGGGATTACAGTGTAAACCACTAGGCCTTCCTTTGTCCCTCATTTTGTTGTTGTTGTTATTCCCTGTTACACAACCTTTTTGACTTTCCCCCTGGCAGGACATAGTTCACCCAGTGTCATCTTGTTAGCAGAGAGGACCTGAGAGCCAAGCCCTACTGCTTGCTGATGCCACAACAGTGGGCTTTCTTGTCGTTTTGTGTCTTTTATTATTTAGTCGCCTAATGCAGCTCAAACTGATCTGCAAAATTTTTTGTCTCTGTCTCTTGGAGCTAAGACTGCTGTCCCGTACCGCCATGCCTGGATCCCTCAGCCAGTTTAGTTTTGTTATGTAGCTTAGGCTAGCCTGAAACTTGCTGAGTCACTGGGGATGGCCTTGAGCTTCTGATCCTCCTGACATGTACCACTGTGCCCAGTTTCTGTGGTACCAAGGGTCAAGCATAAGGCTTTGTGCTGGGCAAGCGCTCTACCAACAAAGTTAACATCCCCAACCCAGTTTTTTTTTTTTTTTTTTTTTTTTGTTTTTTGTGTTGTTTTGTTTTGTTTTTTAACACAGTCTAATATATCAACAGGAGGTTGGTTCCAGGACCCCAAGTGAAACTGAAACCCGTGGCTGCTCGAGTGCTTTGCATAAAGGTGGTGCAGGGTCAGCATAGGCCCACTGCACAGCCTCCCCTGTGCTGTATGAACCTCCTAACTTGATCTAATGCTGTGACGGTCGTTGTACTACTGCATAGTATAAGGAACCATGAGAAGAAAAAGCATCTGAATATGTTCAAGACACACAATGACGAGGGGTTTTTGTTTGTTTGTTTGTTTGTTTGTTTGTTTGTTTGTTTTTGTCTCCCAAATAGTTTTGGTTCGTGTTTGCTTAAGACCAGAGACACAGATGCAGAGAGCTGGCTGTATTCCACTCTCTGTGTCTACTGAACAGCTCCACATTCCCTTCTTTTCCTTGACTTCAAGGCCCCAAAGGCACATCTGTCACAACCCTTTCTGTTTTAAAAGTCTAATCCATGCAAAGATCTTCCTGAGTCTGCCTCTGGTCTTCCTGAGCCCAGGGTCTGTGTGCTCCCTCTGTCTCTAGAGGACACTATGAGACCTTCTCCAAGCCAGATCAGGGAACAGTCTCACCCTAATCACAGGCTGAGAGTCTATGATTCATACTGAATCACTGGGCAGTTTCTGTCTGTCTTTTGAACAGCTGGGGCAGACCTGGGAGCCCAAACCCCAACCCAAGGCCCCTTGGACTCCACCCAATACTCACCACCCAGGTTGCTGCTATGACCAGCAAATATTCCCATGACTCTGATCCTAAATGGAAATGGGGTCTTTGGCCATGCAAGAACCTCTGTGGCTTCAAGAAAAGTTGGTGGGAGCAGCCAAGAGGCTCCAGAGAGATGTCCCAGCATCAAATTTCTTCCTGTATCTGGGGACACTGCCACACAGACCCCTGTCACCCTGTCGCTCAGTCATTCCCAAACATTTTGGACATCCCATTCTAAACCCAAAATACTCTTGTGGGCAAAACACAAAAGCCCTGCCTTCATGTAGCTCAAACACAGGGGAGGCATTGAGCAGGATCCGCAAGTAGAATACAGAGCAGTGGGTTGGAGTGGGCGTGTTGTTATTATTCTCATCTATTTATTCATTATGCATAGGTGTAGAGGATGAGTGCACATGAGCGTGAATATGGTTACGCATGTGCTGTGGCATACATGTGGAGGTCGGAATCAGTTCTCTCCTTCAGCATGTGGGTCCCAGGGACAAAACTAAGGGTGTCGCTCTTGGAAGCAAGTGCCTTTACCTGCAAAGCTATCTCTTCGGCCCCTGGAGTACAGTTCTAAGGAGAAAAAAAAAAAAAAAAAAAAAACAGGGCAAGAGAATGAGAAGTGGCCAGTGTGAGGCTTTTGAGAGGGTAGCATGGCCACTGTGAGGCTTTTGAGAGGGTAGCATGGCCACTACAAGCCTCTCAGAAGCTGCAGTGTTTACATAAAGACCCAAGGGAAGTAAGGAGCCAGCCCTTCGGACACCAGCTAGAAAGATGTTACAGGCAGGACAGGAACGAAGGTTCTGAGGTGGGAAATTACACAAGGTTCAAGGAGAACCTTGGGAGCTGTTCTAGCCCCAGTTGGGTGAGAGAGGAAAGGGCTGGTGAACAATGGGGGCAGCTTAGAGAGAGCTTGGAATGTCATCAAAATAACCTTGGCTTTAAATCAAAGTAAGAAGGGAGAGTTATAGAGTCCAAGCAGAGGAAGGGCATGATCTGATATATATACCTATATGATATATATGATATATATCATATATGTATCAGATAGGTATATATAATATATGTATGTATACATAAGTGTTTGTATATATACATGCTTAATTCATAAGTTTTTAGTATATTGACAGAGTTGTGTAACCATAGCACAGTCAATTTTGGGACATTGGTGTTACCTCTAAAAACCCCCTGTGCCCATTAGCAGTCATTCCCCAATTAACTTTCAGTTCATAGACTTATCTGATCCAGGCTGACCATATTTTAAAGGGCTCATAGTACAAGAACAGAGGTTTCTTTCCTCAGCCCACTGGGACCAAAATGGCCACCATCATGTTTCTGGAACCTGCTATGCCCGGTCCCACCTTAAGGCCTTCCATCCTGTTCTTTCCTCTGTGTGCTTCTCCTTTCCTTTGAGTATTTATGCAAACACCAGCAGCTCCTAGAAGGCGTTCTTTCCAGAAAGCTTTTTGGTAGACAGATGTCTTAGGGTTTCTATTGCTGTGATTAAACACCATGACCAAAAGAAACTTGAGGAGGAAAGTGATTATTTCAGCTTACTGTTCCACAGCTGGTGCGTTATTAAGGGAAGTCAGAACAGGAACTGGAAGCCGGCACTGATGCAGAGGCCATGGAGGAGTGCTACTTTCCGACTTGCTCACTAATGGTTTGCTCAGCTGTTTTCTTTTCTTTTTCTCCTCCCCACCTCCTTTTTGAGACAGAGTTTCTTTGTGTAACCCTGGCTGGCCTAGAACTCACTCTGTAGACCAGGCTGGCTGCCTGGTATCTGCCCCAAGTGCTGGGATTAAAGTTGTGTGCCACCTCCGCTGGGCTCAGGCTGCTTTCTTATACCATCCAGGACCACCTCCCCAGGAATGGCACCACCCACAGTGATCTGGGCCCTGCCACATCCATTATCAGTCAAGAAAAGACCCTACACACTTGCTTACAGGCCAGTTTTATGGAGGCGTTCTCTCAATTAAGATTTCTTCTTCCCGTATGATCATAGCTTGTGTCAAGTTGACATAAAAACTAGCCTGCATAGCTGGGCTTGATGGCGCACACCTGTAATCCCAGACCTCAGAAAGTCAGAGGCAGGTGGATCTCTGTGAGTTCCAGGCCAGCCTGGCCTGCAAAGTAAGTCCAGGACAGTCAGGGCTGTTACACAAAGAAACCCTGTCTTGACCCTCCCCACCCCACCCCCCCAAAAAAACTAGCCACCACAACAGGGTGAGCAGATGTATTTAGCCTGGTGACAGAGGAGGTGCAGCTGTTGTTATGTGGGTACATTTTGAAGCCGGACTTCCTGAGAGACAGGCTGTGGGTCTGAGGGAAAGAGTTAAGAACAACCATTCTCAGGGGTGGGGAATGTTGGCAGGGACAGAGAGCTTTGTACCTGTAAAGTCTGGGATACCTGTCAGACTTCCAGGTCGGGCTGTTGGGTGAGAAGTTAGGTGAGCTGGGCGTTAGTAGCAAGTCATGTCAGCTGGAATAGCATCTCCCCAGGCTAGGAAGCAATCCCTGCCCAGACCCAGGTGCCAAGCACTGACCCCATCAGTGGGCAGAGGGGCTATGGGCATCCAGTCACTGGCAGGTGTTCACCACCAACCAGTCCAAAGTCCACGGGAACATTCTATCAGCAAGAGAACTAAATGAGGAAAGTGTTCACTAGCACCCTCTACAGGGGAACTGAGGGTTAGCAACTAAGAAAAGTTCAGACAGCCCTGATAAGAGCCTATCACGGATCTTCTCAAAGATCTGGTTTTGGTGATATTTGAAGGTGTACCCAGATTTCAGTCTTGGGGCCTGCTAAATGAATATACTTTAAAAATCAATAGTTCAAGAGCAGGAGGTGAAGTGGCTCAATTGGATGAGTGCCTGCCTGTCATGTGTAAGGCCCTGGATTTGATTTGTGGACTTGCCAGCATCTACCCAACCCTAGCTGGCTGGTACACACTACCAACCAAGCCATGGAGTGAGAAGCTGCTTGGGCCGTTTCGTTTTAAATTTAGTAAGCTTCTTGGAACCTTGTAGCAAACCACTAACAACAACAAGAAGAGGCAAGAATAGAGCTGAGGCAGTTCCAAACCCAGAGCAGAGACAGAAACTTTAGGAAAGCCACATTTTTTTTTCCCTATTGCTCTTTAAATTGAAAAGACAATGTAACATACCTTCTAAAAATACTCTTAAGATACAGCCACCTCAAGGCCTCTGTTGCCCCCCCTGTTCCCAGCTGGTCATGGTGTTTCCCAGCCTACATTCCTAGGCCTTTGCACTCCTTCCAGGACAGGCCTCCCATAAATGAACCTTTCCAGAGAGTTATAATTTAAAGTGGCAATGTTAAAAGGAAGGGAGGGTAAAAAGGAAGGAGAAAAGGATGGAGAGGAGGAGAAATGGAGAGGAAAATGGAAGGCAGGAAGGAGGGAGAGAAAAGTTTAACAGGGCTCGTTACAGGAACACTCAAAGTTAGGCCCTGTGTCTATTTCTCCACAATTGCTGAATCTATCTATAGGTGCTCACATTGGTGTATGGTGTACGTTTGTGTGTGTGTGTGTGTGTGTGTGTGTGTGTGTGTGTGTTTGTGTTGTATGGTGGTAGCAGGTTTTTGTAGTATATGCGATGCGTGGTACATATGGTGTATAATGAATATGTGTTACATGCCTCTGTATGTGTGTGGTATGTAGATACTGTCCCTATACGTAGACTTCGGCTTCTCCAGGGATTCCCATCACAGGTCCTAAGCCTTCCTCCTCAAAACCAAGTCTCCTCCTGTTCCCAGGTGTCAGACAGAAAGAGCCCAGTTACAAGCGATGCTGGAACACAGGCAGCAGGAGGCTGAGAGGAGAAACGCCATGTATGAGAAGGAGCTCGAAGGACAGAGGGACCTGATCCAGGCCATGAAAAGGAGGGTGTTGGAACTGATTCAGTAAGAATGGGGCTGGGAGCGGTGCAGTAGAGTGGAAAGGAGGAATGAATGGTAAGGACTGTGCAGGCCAGGCTCGAAGGCTACTCCAAATCAACTCTCGGGTTCTAGACCCTTCCATCCATGAACTTGCTTCCTTCTGGTTAGTGACCTCATGCTGTCACTGATTACATGTCACATGTTACAGAGGAGGAAACTGAGGGTCAGAGGCCACTAAAGACAGACAGCATTTAAACCACAGACTCCTCTGGCAATGATGTTTGCTCTCAATTCAAGAACTGCCCTCTGTCTCCCATTATGGTTAGAAGAGATCCCCATCTCTTCTAGCTCACAAGTAGAGGAGGGATTGAAAGAAGGAAGGGGAAACGTGGAATACCAAGAAGTGCCCGCATGCCCACACCTACCTGCCTACTGGACTTCCTTAGACCTCTGTGTCTGGAGCAGCTGTTCTAGGTACCAGAGGCTGAGCTTACTCCAAGTTTCTGAGCTCGCTGAGATGGGAGAGACATGTAAATCGCACTAGCCCTTCAGTCAGGTAGAGAGATGACGAGATGACACCCATGTGTACCTCCTCAGCCACGGACACTCACATTCATGTGCATTCCTTTCCTGCAGCTCAGGAGATCCAACACCAGTGGTCTCAGATTCCATGAAAACGAGCAGGTTGCTGGAGTCACCCAGAACTAAATTATTTTGCTTAAAATTCTCGCATTAAAGGTGAAATGAGAACAAGATTAACGTGGAGAAAATTAAGTTTAAGGAGGGCAGACAAAGGCACTGGCCTCACAAGACTGACACCTCAGATAGAGCCTCCCCGCCCCCGGTGCCCATTGTGGGAGGAGAGAACCAGCTCCCTAAAGCTGTCCTCTGACCACACATGTGTGCACACAATCAGACCTGTCATTCTAGCCCTGGGGAGGGGGCAGCAACAGGATTGTGTGTTCTAGAGCAGCCTGCGCTATGTAGGGAGACCCTGTTTCAGGAAAAAAAAAAAATCTTTGTTGATTTGTTTAACTCACCAAAAGGATTAGAAAATAAGGATAAAGCAGGCTCTCAGAAAACAAAATAAAAGCAGGTGTGAATAACAAGAGGGTGAAGACACAGAGATCAGTGTAGGGGGCTGGAAAGATGGCTCAGTGGGCCATTTTGAGACGCTGCCTCAAAAAACAAGGTAGAAAGTAATTGAGGAAGACAGCCAGTGTCAACCTCTGGCCTTCACATAAATGAATGCACATGAGCACATGTACACACACCAGTCTAGGTAGGAGTCCTAACACCCTCTACAACTGACAGAGGTTTCCAGAAAGAAGCTAAAATTAAGTAGGTTATCAAGTAAAGTATGACAAAAATTAAAAATACGCATTTTTAAAAGGCTCTGATGGACACCAATCTTTAGATCTCACGAAATGACAGCACTATAAACAAATGGGGGAAATTTCAATCCATATCTAGATATAGCATTGTGAAATCTCAAAGAAGCAGAGAGAGAGAGAGAATATTTTCAAGTTATCTAGAGGAAAACGTGAAATACATTAGAAAGATAGGAGACCTCTACATGTGTCAGTGGCTATGATGTAATAACTCTCAAGTTCTCAGAAAAGCCAACTCTTGAACTTGAATTCCATGTCTAGATGAGCCATAAATTAAATGACGAAGAAGAAGGTGAAATCAGACAGGGCTCAGAAGGTTCAATTCCTCCACAGCCTTTCTTAAGAAGTTAGTTGAGGATGTGCTCCAGAAAAACAAGGAAGTAAGACAAGAAAGGAGAAGATGTAATTCAGGGAGCAGAGTTCCACCTAGGAGAAAGAAAAGGGTCTCCCTAAGATGGCGCCCAGGTAGAAAGGTCGGGAGAATACTCGCTGTGATGAGGGATTCGGGGGTGGTCAGGCACAGTGGTGCATGCCTGCAACCCCAGAGCAAGGAAGGCTGAGGCAGGAAAATCACAAGTTCAAAATCAGCCTGGGCTACATAGAAAGAATTAACAAGAGTAACTTGACAGAGGAACCCAGACTAGGGATGTGACCACGTTGGGAGGAAGGAGAAGTTGGTGGGGCCAGTAACAAGTAAGATGACTCCTTCATTCTCAAGGGAGGGAGAATGTTTTCGAGCAAAGCAAGTAGGTGCATCTGTTACTCAAATATGGAAGGAATACCAAGGAGAAATGGTTGTGGAGGGGTGTTTACCTTGGTTGGTTTAGCAGTGAAAAAGGAAGGAGTAGAAGGGTGGCGATACTTTTTATATAATCCCTTCTGTAGAGTTTGATTTTTACTTAAACACTTCTTACTTATTAGTTTTGTGTTTGTATGTACGTGAATGGTGGAGGACATGCGTGGGGGGACACCTTTGTGTAGTCCATCCTCTTCGTCCACATTTATGAGGCTACCTTTACCCACTGAGCCATCTCACAAGCCCCTATTTGATGTTTTAGAAGATTTATTTATGTATATGAGTGTTTCATCTGCATGTGTGCATACAGGCAATACCAACACACTACCGAAGAGGCTAGGGAGATAGGTCAGTCAGTAAAATGCTCGCCAGTCAAACATGAGGACTGGGATTCAACCTTCAAAACTCATACAATCAATCTCAGTGCTAAGAAAGCCAAGACAGACAGATCTATGGGACTCACGGACAAGCCAGCTCTAATACTCAATGAGCTTTAGGCCAATGTGATCTAACCCCATCTCTTCTCTCACCACCTCCCCTTCTCTCTCCTTCTCTCCACGTCTCCCGCTCCATCAGTGAGAAGGACCACCAATGGCAGAGGCTCCAGCAGCTGTCTACTATGGCCCCAGGACACTGCGTGGGCTGCAACAAGGTCTTCAGACGCCTGTCTCGGCGTTATCCTTGCAGGTAATGGAAAGGCACAGAGTCTAGGACAACCCACAGGTCCCTGTCTAACCACAGAAGGAAGGACCATGGGATCTGCTTGGTTTGGTTTGATTTGTTTGGTTTCTAAAGACTTTCTTTTTAACATCTTTTTCAGTGTGGCGGCGGGGGTCGGGGGATGCATGCTCACGCACACTGTAGCACACATGTTGAAGTCAGAGGACAAGTTACAGAAGCTGAGGGTTCAGGGATGAAGCTCAGGTCACCTGGTTCAGTGGCAAGTGCCTTTACCCTCTGAGCCATCTCAGCAACTGTGGTTTAGTTGGTTATGTTGAGACAGGGTCTCATGATGTACCCCAGGCTGGCCACTATGTGACCCAGGCAGAACTCACATGTATGATCCTCCCGTTTCCATCACTCCCACACACCAACATTACAGATGTTTACTACTACACTGGGGGGGCAGGAAATGGGTGTTTGTGAAGAGCCACTTGAGCCCGGCCCCACCATCATCCTATCCGGCTCCTGCTGCTAAGCAGGATCTTGAAAGAGCAGAGTGGGCAGGGCCATGAAGGAGGGAAGGTCTAGAAGATGAAGCCAGTAACCTCCTGGAATGCACTGCTGGGCTTCTGTCTAGGGAGAGGGTCCCTGCACCTCAGCGCAGAAAGAACCTTTCCCTCCCTTCCAACGAATGACTACCATGGGGGAAGACTGGCAGGAGGAAAAAAAAATGTCAGGAGAAGCTACCACCTGAGTGAGAGGCTCTAGAGTGAGCTAGCAAGATAGGCTGTGGGAAAGGGGAAGCATCCCGAGCTAGCCAAAAGCTGCCCTGCTGAAGAACCACGAGGACAGGCAGATGCTCCCTTAGAAGCAAGCCCAGGCTTCCCTGTCTCTGCTCCCCAGGCTCTGTGGAGGCCTGGTTTGCCATGCCTGCTCTGTAGACTACAAGAAGAGAGAGCGCTGCTGCCCAGCCTGTGCCCAGCGGGAAGAAATCCAGAATACCTGACCAAGCTAGCAGCCACCTCCCCAGTCTACTCCCTCCGCTCCTCTTCCTAACCCTGAACTCTGACCACTCTTTACTTCTGGAAGCTGGAGAGCTAGGGACCCCAGCACTGCTATGTATGTGGGGGTTGGGGATAGAGGGAACATCTGGCAGCCACAGATAGGCCTGGTTCTGCCTTTCCTGGGTCTGGTGTGAGGAAGACATGCTATGACCTCTCTGTAAAGTCCCTTGAGGCACAGTGAGTCGTGACTATGAATAAGAACCCAGGGCCCAGCTGTTTCCTAGCCACACTCTCCTTCCCCCACCACCCACAAGAGGTGCAGCTTAAGTACCCTGGGCACTTGAGGACCTTCCCTCCATTCTGCTTCAGGGATCACTGTCTCATTTCATTTTCTTGCATGTTGACATGTAATAAGCATCGCATAAGTTTGCTGAGTTTTTAACTTTAATATACATCTGTAAAGACATAGGCATCAGACCCAAAGCTTCTTCACCATCCTCCAGCCCCGGCCTCCATGAGGAGGCAACCACTGACCCTGCCTGATATCACCAGGAAGCACAGGCACTTTCTAGAAATTTGTGGAAATGAAATTGTGCAGTTCACTCTTTATTGCAGTTATGCCTCTACGCAGAATAACTGGTTTGCGATTTATCTAAGTATTACTTTCATTTCTATCATGTATGTGTGTGTGTGTGTGTATTATGCATGCGGCAGCACTCATGATTCATGCGGGGCCAGAGGACAACTTGTTGGAACTGGTTGCTTCCTTCCACCATGTGAGTCCCAAGATTCAGACTTAGCAATAAGTACCTTTACCCTCTGAGCCATCTCACCAGCCCCCGGGGTTCTTTTTATTCCACTGTCAGGATCTATTTGCACATTTGCCAGTTGCTTCAGATTTGAGTGGCTTCCAGTTGGCAGCAGTTACCTAGAGGCTCCTGCGAGCTGCTTCGTGTGTAGTCACTGATAGAACCACACTTTTATTTCTTCTGGAGAAATCAATAGGGATGAAATGCCTGGATAATGGACAGGCGCAGGTCATAGTAAGCTTAACTTTTAAAATGCTGACAAATGACAGTCATCCCTGGGTATCTGCAAGGAACTGGCTTTAAGAATCCACAAAGGTACCAAAATCCCTGCAGGTAGCAAACTCCCAAACACTGAAGTGTATATACACATACAACCAGTTCACAGAATCACACATACTTTTTCATCCAATTCCAGACTACCAAAACCGCCTAATACTGTATAGATGCTATGCAAACAGTGTTCTACTGTGTTGTTTGGGGGACAATGATGAGAAGAAATCAGAACGTGTCCAGTGTAGACATAATTTTTCAAATACATTTTCAACCTGCAGTCTGCTGAATCAGTGAATGCAGAAGCCATGAGTACAGACCCCATGGATGCAAGGGGCCAACTGTATTTTCCCAAGAGGTCTGTGTTGTACTGTCTCACCAGCTACACGTGAGCGTGCCAGCTGCTCCCCTGGATTGGGCTTGCTGGGCAGAAGAGGCATGGGTACAGGGCTGTCTATCCTCCCCTTTCTCCAAGAAGGCTTATGCAAACTGTGTTGTTTATTTACAAGGTACTAACTGCAGCACTTCTGAGAAACCTATTATAGAAGAGACGTGGACTCGCTCTATAACAAGGCAATTAGCTGCCCTACCCAGCCTCTAGAGAACAAACACCAGACAGGCATCCGCACAGTCCCCATCCCACTCTGCAGGAGCCTCTGCAATGCTTGGGCAATACTGTGGCTCTGCCCAGAGCTTTGTGGCTCTTGGCTGCCTAGAACTGTATCCTATTGCCTTTGCACGGAGTATGAGTGTAGTAACACAAGCTTCTGCCTTGGAGCACTGGTAAGAACTTGCAAACACAAGTGATGGACAGAGGAGACTCCCCCAAACAACTGAGGTACAGGAAGAATGCAGTACTCAAAGAGTGCAGTCCTTTCTGGGCATTGGCCTGACCCATGTAAGTCTACCAGAACCGAGTTTTTGACCTATTAGCAGGAATTGCAGCATGGATTCTGTCCTTCCTCATGAACGGATGGAAGTTGGATTAACAGTAGAAGCCACTGAGGGATGACCTGGGAAAGAACTCCCCAGGAAGGATTGAAGGCAAGGAATGGGGAGCTTGAGCCTGCATCTGTGCCGCCTTGTTTGAGCTCCAGCCTTCAGCTCACCACTGTTTCTGCCTAACCTCTACCAATCTCTTCAGCAAACTAGCTGAAAAGAAACTAGAAAGTTTTCCTATGCTTTGGGACCCTTCAAGGGAGAGTTCCACCGTGGTCACCCTAGACCACCCCAGAGCCTGACCCTGCAAGAATAGCAGTCCTCTAGCAGTGGCTTTAAGGACCATGCCTAGCCACAGCAGCAGCCGGCAGGGCACATGGGAGATGCCTCCAGTGAGCCTCCCATGTCCCTGTGTATTCTGCAGAGGCTGCAGCACTGCCTGAGCACACAGGATCTGAGCTGATGGGGTCAGCATTGCCACTTTTGATGTGACTTCTTTTGTGCTGCCAGGCTAGAGAGGCTCTGAAAGGTCTGGACCGCATCACATAGTTTCTTCAGTCTGTGGGATGCTCTCATGTCCATCAGTTTCCCCCAAACTTTGTTGATTTAGCAGTGTTCACACACACACACACACACACACACACACACACACACACACGCATGCATGAACCACCCTTGACACTCATCACACTATGATTTATTTGGGAAGACAGAGACAAACTCACACCTGAAACACCTGCTTTCAAGATACAAAGAGATTAAGAGCCAGGTAGTTGACTATAAAACCTGGACTGTACACAAAAGCCAAAAGGAGAATTCGATCAGAGGGCTAAAGAATAGCCCAAGGAAAGAGAGTGCACACCAAGGCTCCCAGTGAAACAGAGTAACCCCTGGGGATCTGTATGGGGTTCTCAGAGGTTGAAGTTAGGAGCTCAAGGTGTAGCCAGATGTAAGAGGGGTCAGCCACAAGCTGACCCCTCAGGTATCCACATCAGGATTGACTTCATCTGAGATTGTTGAGGGTCCTTAAAGGCTTTTAAGAAGAAAGTGAAGTGGGCCTATTTACATTTTAGGAAGATCTTTCTAGCATCGGAGTGTATGGTGGGTTCAAGGAAAAGATTTGAGGCAGCCCTCACATAGGGTACAAGGAAATAGAGGAGAAAGAGGAGGAGCTGACTATCATTCTGCATGGTTCATTAGAGACTTGTTTGGTTCTGTGCGCAGTAGGTGTTCTCATATGAATGATGAAACTAAGACCCAGTGTGATCAAATTGCTTGCTGTATGGGTTCATGACCCATAAGTGAATTCTAACTCAGCCAGCCCACCTCTGGAACCCACAACCATTGCATAACTACTGATGTAGTTCAGGAGAGAAAGGATGAAGTGTTGCCTAACACTGTTCGTGAAGGTGGTATAGAGAAGACAGGCAAGAGAGGAGAGGAAGAGCTGGGGTGGGGTAAGGGTGGGATAGGGTGAGATGAGGGGCGTGCATGTCTCCAGCTCGGGGGGGGGGGGCAGAGGAGTAGCTGACAGAACTGGCAGGAGGAAAAACTGGCAGGAGCGAGTGTGGTAGATCTAGAGGTTCTTCATGCGTGGTTGTGACCCCTTTGGGGGCCAACAAATATCCTGCATAATCAGACATTTACATTATGATTCACAACAGTAGCAAAATTAGTTATTCAGTAGCAGTGAAAATAATCGTACGGTTGGGGATCACCACAACGTGAGGAACTGGAGTAAAGGGTCGAGACATTAGGAAGGTTGAGAAAGAACCACTGCTCCAGAGTGTCGTCCATATTGCGTTTGTAGCATCTGGGGAGCTTTAGGGAGACTGTAGGTGATCATTACATACGATGGTAGGGCTTGGGAAAGAAGCTGGGAATGATAGGTGCTAAAGATACTGACCAGTGGTCCTAGCTGAAGCCACAGAGGCAAGCGGACTCACTGTGGAGAGCTGGTATAAATAAATAAATAAATAAATAAATAAATAAATAAATAAATAAATAAATAAATAAATA